GCTCAGATTAGATTAACTACTTCAGCCCATAGAGCGCATGTAATCTTTTTGGGCTAATTAGAGGAAAATTTTTAAAGTGAGAAATAATTACCATAAAATCATTAATAGCAGTAACTCGAAAGGTAGCATTTTATTAACACATAGATTTCCCTACACCAAAAAAATCTTTAAGGTATTCTAAACAATATAGGTGTTTAATGTCTACTAACACTTCAAATACTACTTTAAAAGCTCATTTACCTTTATTTGAATACAATGTAAGACCGAAAGATGCACTCCTATCACAAAAGCCTGTTACTCACTGAGGCACATCTTTTTGAGGACAATAACTCTTTTTTATTAACTTAATTTCTTAATTTTTCAATTAAGATTAGACTATATCTTAACCGTTAAAGGTTCAATGCGTGTAGTCGTTGAGGATTCCTTATAATCAATTCCTGACTTTACAGATAAGGAATAGAATACATAAGTTCCCTGCTGATTGTCTTTAAACTTCTCCTTTCTTTCCCATTCCCATCTGTTCCCATCTCTTTCCCATCTGTTCCATCAAAGATGGGAATGGGAAGAGATAGAAATCAGGGAGTAGAGGTCTAAAGATATTCCAGCATATAGTATCGTTATACGCGGCTCCACAAATAAACCGCAATAATCATAGTGGCAGCAGTAAAGTAAGCCCTAGTATCAACATCTAATCCTACGGCAAACATATGATGTGATCACACAATGAATCCTAAAATTCCAATACTGAACATAGCATATACCATCCCTAAGTAACCGAATACAGGTTTTCCTGAGAATGTTGCAACTACGTGTGACACAATACCAAAAGCAGGAATAATTAAAATGTATACTTCAGGATGTCCAAAAAATCAGAATAAATGTTGGAATAGAATAGGGTCACCTCCACCTGCAGGGTCATAGAATGAAGTATTGAAATTTCTATCTGTTAATAGCATTGTAATTCCCTTAATCTTAATTTCCGGCCGCAATGGCCACGCAATGATGCTCAATATTAATGCTGTTTTTTTTTGTACAGGGACAGGTTGATTTTAATTATATTATAAAAAAAAAAGCCAATCCGGTTGCAGTAATATGGGAAATAAGCCTATACTCACGCATAGGGTGAGACTGTATCTTACTAACTTATACCGACTAATGAATGTTAGTTCAATTAAATTCTGTACGCCCATTGTTCATACGAGCTTTAAGCTCAACAATGTGATTTACATTGGCCCATTCTGTACCTGCTACAAAGTAATCAAAGATCGTATTTCAATCTTTAAAATCCATGCATTTAGTACTTGCCTGGCAGGGCCAGGCTAGTAAGCTAATAGGTAGTCAACTAAAATGGTGTTGCTAAGGATAGTAGAAGTACGTACTTGCCTGGCAGAGCCAGGCTAGAAACTCAGGGTATTTCCGATCATTGCGAATGGAATTAACCTTGACATTTAAGAATTCTGCAATAACAGTCATGTAACGTAATGAAGGAATCCCATCATGGTTAACCCGTGCTTGAGTTAATTCAAAAGAAATACCTAAGGCCCCAAGTCCCTTGGGGCAGTGGGTATTTAGTAGAAAGACTAGTTCGAACTTAAAATGATCCATCTGCTTCGATAAATCCTGCTAATCAAGCATTCGAACCTAGAGCTGAAGTATCAATAGGTAGTCCTACAATGTTAAGTGTAGGAGCTTTATGGTTAATATGATAAATAAGACGCAATAAATCTAAGTTCTTAGGCTGTTTTTATTTCGTGGGCGACGAAATAAAAAAAGCATAAAACCATTAATTAAACCTACTATTTTAATAATACCTTGGAAATTATTAATAGTATAGCGAGCGAGTAAGCAGCCTGATGAGTACGTTTAGAAATAGATCCGTGACCAATTAATACTTGCAACATTAAAGCAAGTGGGTAATCCTTAGCAGCGAAAGCAATTTGAATTGACGGGTAATTTAATTTACCCTTAGCAGATCGTTCAGAAGTAGGTACTACAATAGTACCATCACCTTCAATTAGACCTGCTAAATAAGGACCAAGATTTAATAATAATTGTGATAGTCGGTTAGATAGTCCTGGCGCACAGTCGTTGAGGTTCCGTACAAACTTGAAGTTTTGTGACGTTACCTGCGGATTGTCTCAAAAATCGCTACAGCTAAATAACATAAATGTAGTCATTACTGAGAGATCCCCACATACAGCCAGGTTTAGAGCCGGCAGAATTATAGGGCAACCAGCTAATACAGGTAAAGACAGCAGAAGTAAAATAGCAGTTACGAAGATAGCTCAACAGAATAATGGTAATTTATGCATGGCCATTCCTGGGTGTCGCATATTAATAATAGTAGTAATGAAGTTCATGGCACCCAACATAGAACTAATACCAGCTAAATGAAGGCTGAAAATAGCTAGATCTACAGAACCACCTGAGTGACTCTGGATACCAGATAATGGTGGATACACCGTTCAACCTGTACCAGCTCCTTGTTCTACTAATGAACTAGCTAATAGTAAAATTAATGAAGGAGGTAGTAATCAGAAACTAATATTATTTAATCGTGGGAAAGCCATCAATTATATTATCCGTATAGCATTTAACTACACCATCTTACTATTACAAATAAGTTTAGACTATGTCATCCTGTTGGCGTTACAGGCCGGGCGCTCGTGTTGGGATTATTAGACCCATCAGTCGTTGAACTTTATTGAATCGAATATATCTAGCGCTAGTTTTTTTAATAAAAAAAAGGGCGAGTGGGATATTATACACTCGTTCAAGCTAAGCTGCAAATTGTTCCCTTTTTCTTTTCTAAAATCTAGTTAAAACTTACAGGAATGTCCTTGCAATTCACCCGATGCTTCATTAATTATAGATAAATTAAAATGAGGACTGTGTTATAGGATACTAATATAATTTTAACACCTCAAGATGCTCTCAATTAAAATAAGTACGTTTACTATTCATACCCGATTTAAGTTGCATTGCTTCAGAACGACCATGATCAGTCATGTGTTGACCATTAACAATCATGTTGTGACAAATTAACCAGTCAAGATAGTTAAGTCGCTTACTACTAAATAATGAAAATGATGAAAAATAACTAGCAATGGCCGCCCGAGCAGAAACACTACTCGCAGAAATAAGATAGTACTGTACTCCCGCGTTGTGAGTAGATAAAGACAATCTAACACCTAATGCCTTGGCGATTGAATCCATAATATTATTGTAGGACTCGTTAGTGTTAGGGTCAGTCATACATTGCTCTAATCGCATACGCGCACTTACACGGTCTTTCACGGCTCCGTTAGAAATCAGAGACACACGAATATCAAAAGAACCATCAGCATCAACAAATCCTGATAATCAAGCGTTTTCAAGAATGTCACTTCGATCTACTTCAAAAGTAGGAATATCTGAATTCGTGTCTTTGTTGATTCATTCAATTAATCTGTTAAATTGTGCAACTTTGGGAGTACGTACTTTACCATTAATAAGTTTAATAATAGTTAATAAATTATCAGTAGAGGAAATAGTAAGAACATAGGCGTTGTTATCTATCTTGTTTCGGATAGTACCTCCGATAATTAACCGAAGCATACAAACCAAAGGATAATCACAAGCAGCGAATGTAATGGAGAAATGAGGTGTATATCGTTTACCACTAGGAGCATGAGAGGTTTTAGGGATTCAAATATGCCCATCTCCTTCTCATAATCCCGCGAGATAGTGTCCTAATCTAGACGGTGAAACTAGATGATTAGTCCACCGAATAGTGTGCTTAATACAATCTGGAGCTCCAATTTGCACTGGAACTAAATAGTTTCCAAACCCACCGACTAATGCTGGCATAACCATGAAGAAAATCATTAACAGCGCGTGGGCTGTAATAATAAGTGAAATGGGCTAACTGCTCCTGGCTCGAAGATAGCGTCTCGAAACTGTACCGTGCTAACAAATACAGAACGTAGCCATAAAGAATGGCACACTCAAGCTTCCGATTGGTAATCATATTTTCAACCAATCAAGTAAGAGAATGCGCTTACCCATCTTATGGTTCCATCTTCATAAGGACCAGATAGCCTTTTCCCGAACCGTACGTGCGGCTTTCACCGCATACGGCTCTCACCGAGGAGTTTTGAGACTTAGATTTCTATCATATGAGAACTATAATTGATCCTGGCGAGGGATCTTGAAATGGGCCAGTGTACCTTTGTGTAATTTTACGTGACATGAGCGGCAAAGCGGAATTTGCTTACGGTTCATACGGGACATTAGCGAGGTGAAGTAATCCATTTTGATACGTTCAGTTGTAGAACGAAGTTTACGTACATGGTGCATTTCCACCTGGAAGGGGATTCACAAGCCAAACAGGGCCTATCTAATACTTCGATTGTACGCGCGGCAGCCATACTTAGTTTCTCAAAGCGTTTGTCTGGATTTCAATTGATGTCTGCGTTAAAGAATCGCTCACCCACCAGTGATACTGAAGGAAATGAAGTTAATACGTTACCGTCTAGGCCTTTGATCTCGAGGTCCGGTCCAAATTTCTTGAAAACCTTGTGTAGTGTTCCTAGTCGGAGTTTAGAAGCAATGGTAAGGGCACAGCTTGTCTTAAGAATGAAATGCACACGATGCAGTGAACTGTAATTGTTGGCGAAAGAATAAAATGTTTTATAGCCTCTTCAAATGGCCAGGTAGTGCTTAATAATCTGCGATACGGACATGGGGATTAGTCGACTACAGCTGGTTGGTTTCCCACCCTGACGGCAATACTTACGACTTTCTAATCGGCTGACTAATTTGGAGATCGGAACTAAAAGTTGAGGCCTACCTTGAGGCGTCATTGTGCCCTCTGTACCATTTTTCCGAGTGTAACGGACATAACCTCTAAGATGTGGTGGTGTGATGCGAATAAGCGCCCCCAGGAAAAACGCTATGTCGTCCCGCGCATGTGTGATACGTGTCTTGTCAACACTGAGAGTTAATTTTAGTTCTGTGGCTAGAAAATGTTGAAGATCCTCTCAAATTTTACTACAATCTGCTTTACTCCCAATAACCCCAATAAGGAAATCATCCGCATATCTTACGTACCATAGCCGTTTATAATTCGAGTCCTTGGCCAACCGAGAAGTAATGTTACGCTCTCTAATTTCTTTCATGTTACCTGTTCTTTGGAGGCGTTTGTATTCTGGATCTATCCGGTGTTTTGCCCCTAAGCGGAATTTACTGATGTAATCGTTCATGAAGATGTCAAATTCGTGTAGAAGGATGTTGCATAAGATGGGGGAAACGATGGATCCGACAGGGGTTCCCACTTCCGGTGAAAAGTACTTGTGGTCACTTACGTATCCTGCCCGTAAGGCTTTGTTCAAGAGTGCGTGGAAACCCTGGTCATTGATACGTTTCATGGCAAATTTTACAATTAGACCATGATCGAAAGACGGAAAGCAGTTAGAGATGTCGCCTTCGATGAATCAATTTACTGCGGTGAATTGCTGATGGACTTGCCGTAAAGCTGAATGACAGCCACGGCCAGGCCGGAAACCGTGTGAGTCACTTCTGAAGTGGGGCTCATAGATAGCTTCTAGGATCATAAACATAGCCTGCTGAACAATTTTGTCACGCGGCGGAGCCATCATTAAATCTCGCGTCTTACCAGGTTTTCCAGGCTTAGGAATAGTCTTCACACGGGAAGGTTTGAAATTGAAGGCGCCTGTACACAGCTCCCGAGCAAGGTTATGGAAGTACCCTGCACTAACTCCATCAAGAGTTTCATCATCAACCGCTGGGGTCATATTACCGGGCTTAGACTTAATTTGTCCATACGCCGCCATAAGGAAATCGGGTCGACAAAGCAGCGCCATGATGCACTGATTGATAAGGTTCTCATTATTAGTATTGGAATTTCTAAGTCTTCGAAGCTCAACTAAACCCGCGGGAATCGTGTTTTGCTTACGGGTCTCCTCGCTAGCCCCCTTCAGATAGCCCGACGACGTACTAAACATTCGGCGTTGAAGCGATCCTACTACGAGGCCTCCGTTACCCCCGTGGCTTACGCTGGTTGGGTAATCCCAAGTTCCTTGATTCTCTCCCAATGTATGATTTAGGTCTCCCACTACATTATGGTTTCGTCCTGAAACCCAGCAACGCACTTTCGACAAGAGGCTTGACACAACGTAAATCAAACCTCCTAACGTTACACATAAACTTCACAGCTTATGCCGGAGCTCTGACCGGTATTGTAGTTTTAGAAAGGATTCGTTAGCCTGACCATGTCACACGTAGCTCGCGATTATTCTTGCAAACCGCTTTACAACCATGCTGCAGTCCCCAATGAGTTTCCCCCAATTAGGTAAGGTTGTTGCTTTAAGGCTCTCCGTGAGGTCCCAAATAAGGGTAATAACGATTTCTAGTCGGGCACAGAACACTAGTCACTCCATATATCCGAAGCTGTACAGCACTAAGTCTCTTCCTGAATAATTGTAATTAATAATATAGATGGAACGGGAGCGGCAGACTAGGTTAAGGAAAGGATTGGCAATTGGATGGCAAAATAATACCTCGACTAGGCCCGTTGGGATTACACTCACGAAAGGTCAAAAGGAACCCTGATGGTTTATTTTTGCGGAATTGCCAAAGGATAACAGGATGGCGACAATCCCACAAAAGATCCAACAAGAGAGAATGAAGTTAAGTGGCGCACCATTATAAAGTTGATGATTTCCATGTAGATACTGTACACCTGGTGAAGCCAGTTCCATTCTAATAATTACACTGAATGCTGTTCCTAACATACCACTAAACACGGCAAAGATTAGGTATAATGTACCAATATCTTTAGCATTTGTACTGAATAATCATCTCGTCATAAAAAAAAATATAACAATTCTCCAATAGCACTTAAATACACAAGCAATAAGATTATCCCTGACTCTATTTCCCATTTTCTTATCGTTTACTTAGTTTCGCCCAACTTTTACTTTTTTTATTTATTTTTAACGGAATAAAAAGTAAAAACTACAAAAAGGAGAACCGTAACAAAGGAAATAGGGAACAGTGGGAAATAGAGTAAAAAAATAAGTTTAGTTGTGATTACTCTTTTATATTATAATTCTCATATTTATATTAAATGTTCCTCTTATACTTAGCGAGCATCATAAAGAATCTATTTATTTTTATTCTCACCAATTGTAAATAGGAGTAAGGGAGCGATAAATAGAAAAGTTGAGTATTAATTAACGTTAAACCTGTGAATCTATCGACCGACTAGAAAAAGAAAGATATTTCTCGCCCTTTTTATTCTCTTTTTTAAAAAAGACCATAAAAAGAGAATAAAAAGTTAAAAATAGAATAAAAGTAAAAAAAATACTATCCAAAACCTAGCCTTTTTCATCTTAAGTTTTGTAGTATACGGGCTAAATTAAGATCATTATTTACTTCACTTATAGAGATGAAAACAATTTTTAATAGTGTCCAGTCATACTCTGCGCAGATCAACGCTTTATACACTTTAAATGGCTTACCTAAGATGCACCTTCGGTTTTATGTTTTAAAGTTTATTTTACTTGTGTTGGTTTCAATTTGACTTGGTGATTTTATTAATTCC